AAGAATAATGATGATGCTTTCAAATGAGGTTTGTTTTCTTCTAATTATGCATTTTTTTTAAACATTACAACAAGTAATGTTTTTTTTTTTTTTATTTAAGTCAATTATGAAAGTTCGAAGTAATCTTTTTTAACCTTATTTATATGATATAGAATTTTGAAGAGATTTCGATTATTACGATAAATTTCACTCGTTTGATTTTATCAATCTGGATTTATTGAAATTTTTTTATTATTCTAAAGCTATTTGCGAGACACTCTCTACGTAAGTAGAAAAGTAATAAGAATAAAGAATTTCTTGATAGAAAGAGAAAAAAATTACGTTTTTCTCTCTTCACAAATTCAAGTCGATTAGGTTTATTATTTTCTTAGAAAATCGTTGGATTCGAGATGGACCTCGATTTCGATCATAACTTGTTTTATACCCTAACTGAAGCATTATATTAGTTTACAATCATCGAAATACACAAGACGTGACAAATCGGATTTTCTAAGTTGTCGGCAAAAACGTTCAGTAGAACTAAAATATCTAGTTTACTAAGAAACTAAACGTTAACCAATAGTTATCTCAAAATCTTCTACGTTTCAATAGTGAAGTAGTGCACTCTCTAGGTTTTTTTTCTCACTCATATATGATTTTGCTCTCAGCACTCCATGAACGCTGATTTACGTGCGGAAAATCGTAGTCGATATATTTTTTTTTTGCTTTGAACAATGCGTCAAATTCTAATAGATTTGGGAAGAAATTCATATGAGGCATATACTAATACCATTGCTACTGGGAAACTCAATCTTATGAGTTCATTAACAGATAAGAAACAAAACGAAATAATTTTTGATTGATTAGACAAAAATCTAGAGTTAATCTTCGATTTACAAATGAGACATTTCACAATTTTAAGTGATGAATCGTTCACATACCATTAAAATAATAATAAGTAAGACCAACATTATTATCAGTATTGGTTTTAAGTGAAATATAGCCTCACATGATTTGACCGATTAACATATCACACTGTGAAATGACACATGTTACCGTCAAAGTTTTCCTTTGTGCGTTTGTTAGCTCAGCTAAAATGAATCTGTCTGTTTGTAAACCTTTGATCAGAAAATGGTTTATATATAAATGTTATTCCGTGTTATTTATTTATCGTAAGCGTCCATACAAAGTTATATTGATCCAGAATATTAAATATAGAGATTTTTTCCATGGAATTATTTCGAATGAAAAATAAAGAGAGAAACTTGAATAACGCTGTAGGTGGTTCAGTCTTTTATATTGATATGTGACAATAGAATCGTAATGTCTTATTATTTTAAAAGAAAAACGTCTTTTCAATCTTGTCTCTGTCAACAATTATTTATTTATGTGTGCCAGTTGTCTCTAATTGCTCTGTGGTGGTCCTTTCACGATTAACGCCTATATTAAATAAATCTTTTTGATAAAAGAAAAATGCAATTTTTTCTCTCGTACACTTCAAATCCTTGCTTGAAATTGAAAAGACACATGCCTTTTTTCTCGGTTGACTAAATCTGAGAATGTTAGATAAAATTCGATGTTTTTAAATGTCTAATCGATTTAAAACGATTATTAATCATTTTTATAACAATTTATTTATCAATGCAACAATATCAATATTGAAATACTAATCAAATATGGTATCAAGTTTTTTTTATTATTCTAACAATTAATTTAATGGAATTGAACATTGTTAATATGTGGTTTCATATTATCGAACATAAAGACAATATAATTAATATGTTTATATTAGAAATAAATAGATCAATTTTCAATTAAATCAAATAATAATAAATGTAAGAGTTTGATATAATATTTTATATCTATATTATTATTAAATAATTGAAATAATAAATAAACATTGTCTTGTTATAAATAGAGATATTGAAATATGTCGTTAGTTATTTGAAATGAAAAATAAACTATTAAGATTTAATTAGATTGTCCTAAAACAAAATTATATAATAGATTAGCATCAATAATCTATTCAAAGCAATAATACAATATATATAAATAAGATTGTATAAAATCTTTTCATTTATCTAAACAAACAGTTTCTAATGAGAAAAAAAAATAGTGAAACTATTAACCAAGTTTAGTATAAATGAAAAAATATAAAATAGATGATAATTTCAATATTCAACTTATAGAAAAAAATTTTCGATCTATTATTGAAAAGTTTAATCAGCAAGTAAATATAAAACAAAAGTTAAAATTCTTTTGAATTATTTCAATTATGAGATTTGTTTCTATTTGTCAGGTTGTTTTTTATTTGATTAAATCATCTTAATCAATATAATGTATTTTCAATTTTTTTCTTTGTTTACATGAAAAAAAAAACTCGTCTAAGCATGATGTATTTTCGAGTGAATAGTTTATATAAAATTTCTTCATGATTAATATTTGAAAATTTGATTCGATTTTGATAATATATCAAAATAGATAATCAATTTAAACTTGTTTATTAAAAGTGAATTCGAAATAGACAAGATAGATTTTTATCAATGGATAAACAATTTAAACGAAAAAAGAAATCGAATTATTCTGCATTATTTATCATTCATTGTTAGTTTATACTATTTTAGTTAGTATTAAATAGATTTTGATAAAATAATTTCTAAAATTGTTTTCTTAACTTTTAATCTCTCAATATAGAAAGATTTATTCTGATAGAAATCGTAGATAAAAAATATCGGCGAATGTCATTAGAATTAGTCTATTACAAAGAAAAAAAAAGTTGCTACTAAATGATGATATTGATTTAGTCTTCTCGTATTAGATTTGTGAAGAATGAAATTCTCTTCTATAATTCTTGTCAGATTGATATATTCGAAGAACAAATCTGTCGGTATCATATTAGCATCAACGAAAATAATCATAGTCTCAGTGTGATAGACGTCAATGATAAACGTATGAAAAAAGTTCTAGTTTGAATTTAATATGTAGTATGTTACAACGTCGATTTTTCTTATAAGTCTTAACTATATGCTTAAAATAAAGGTTTATTCATCAATTTTTTTGTTGATTGTTTTTATGAAATTTTGTTGTTGATAAAAAAAGAAAAGAAATGCGTAGTAGTGAGTTTATTTTTATTTCTTTTCATCAGTGGATCCATATTCAAAACTGAAGAACAAAAAAAAAAATAATTGAAATGTCACTATGCCCGCGCGTTTCTAACCAACACTCGACGAATGAATAAGTATTAAAAAAAAACTACCATTTCACAATGATGAAATGGAGAAAAAAATTTACGTGTTTCATATTCATTGATCACAATAAACATTTTCATCACTCAATGTTAAAAATATCAATTTTTTTTTGTCTATTTCATTATAAGAAAATGAGTTTTTTTCGCATTTCTTATATAGAACTCAGAAAAGTCATGAATATTTTTTTGACTTCACGGTCTGTTGTTATATTTAAATCAATTGGTTTTAATTGTTCGAAAATCCAACGAATATACTAAAAGTTTTTCTCTAGTATTTTTCAAATGTTAAACATTTATTTTAAGACTTTCAATCTACCTTTAGGCAGATTAATAGACAAACAATACGACGGACATATATGCTTCGAGATAAATAAAAGAAAATATTCGCTTAGATTTTTTCAAAAAATCGTACACACCGAACAATCTTTCGATAAAAACATCAATAAAAATACGTTTATTTCTTAATAAATTGCAGTTTTTTTTTTGATGCCAAAACGTATTTATAATTGATAAAAGCCTTTTTTTTTGGTCCAAATATAATTTGAGATACGTCCTTTGACGATCGCATTCTAAGATTGTTTGAACGTAGGTTTTCGCAAAATAAAAATGCAAAAATATTCTTGAGAACAAGTTTCAGAAGAACACATTTTATTCAAACTAAAAAACAAATTTTTAATTATTGTTTTATATTAATTTTTATTATCTATGGAATAGAATTGAGTTTAAAAAAATTTTCTTGAAATTCATTCGTCAATTGATTTTGTTTTGATCATTTTGATATTAAAAACAAAAGTCTCTATGTTTTACTTAACTTGTTCTTTTTTTTCTGATAACATCATTCGAATCTTTCCCCAGTGTTTTTTTTAAATTGAATATTCGAGAGAATATTTAGCCTTTTCATCATAAATATATTCTTTTAGTCGAATATACTTCATCCTTCAAGTTTTTCTTTGTATTCAACTTTTACTGTCTTCTATTAATTTTTGTCGTCGAACATTATTTTTCAATTTATAGATGCTTTCATTACACCTTTGCCCTTTCTTTCAAGATTAATACTTGAAGGTATATATGAGTATACAAATATTTCTCTGCCATTGTCTTCGTACTCTTTAGAAACGGCGAGAAGTTGCGTAGAAATAAAAAACAGAATATTTGATGGGATTTTTATGTTGTTACATAGTTTGTGTGTTGATCGAAGGAAAAACTCGAGATTTTTTTATTTATTACTATTCCCTGCTTGATCATGAGACATATCCATGTCTATTTTAGTATCAAGGACAACTTTCGACTGCATCGAACATCGAAAGGGGTTATATTCTCGCTTGAAGAAAACTTCTGTTTGTGATTATTCATCAAGAAAAACGTAAAATAACTTGTCAAGAGGCGTACTTCAAATACAGAATATAGTGAAATATTTTTGTGTCCATCTCTTTCAGTTCCATTAAAAAGAGAATGATTCATTTTTAATGCATTGATTTATATAGAATGAGAATAAACAAAACCTATGACAATCAACACGGCAAAAAAAATAACGTACACCTTATTTTTTTGTTCGAAACGAATATGCTAAATCAAACAATATTAATTCTTTAGAAATCTATTTAGAGAAAAATAATTAAGAAAATCTTGAAGATAAATCCTATAGACTATTGAAATTCACAATAAATATAAGAATTTATTTTTCTTTTAGAAATTCTATCAATATCAAAGAGCTTTCCTCTAACCGTTCAACATTGGATAGATTTTATCGATTGAAACGAGATAGATATTTTGCCTTGTTACATTTATATATCTATACTAGATTTATATCCAAGGAAAATATCTCAAATAATCATATATATTATATATATATATATTTTTTTAAAATTGAATATTATAATCATAGTGTTTTCAAAAGAAAAAAATGTTTTCTTATTTATTGTTCACTTTTCAAAAACTTTTTTTACTTCATCAAGTTTGCATGTTGATCATATTCATAACAACAAATAAAATACAATTATTCACATCGAATCGTGCAACTCAGGAAAATAAAACGAATGAAGAAAAAAAGAAAGAGAAAAAGAGAAAAAGAAAAAAAGAGAGAAAGAGAGAGAGAGAGATCGATTCTATAAACAGTTCCACATGTCACATTTTCTCGATTAAACAAACTCGAATAACAGAAAAAGACAATTAATTTTCACAGGTAACCATTCATTTCTTCGTTTTCAGATTTTTTGAGCTGATTTAAAGAGTAAACCTATTCTTATTAAAAACAACGAATTGATAAATGGAAACGAACTTCTTCCTAGAAAGAACAACTGACTTTAAGGCCAGTGTTCGACACACAATATTTTCAAGAAGTAACTATATGAGAGCAACAAGGTTGATATGACCTACAAACCTAGCTTAGTCATTTTTCTTGAAATAGCTTTGGCCTTTCTGGCTTCTATATCCTCCCATGAGATTTAAACGAATTTCTTCAAAATTAACTATGAGTATCAACTCAGTCATGCTGAAATGCGAAGTGGCTTTTATCAAAATCTGGCTTTTAGGTCTCAAACAGAACTTTTCTCACCTAAGCAAACCGCTAAAAGCTCTGAAAAAAATGTTTTTTTTTATATGTAACTTTCCAAGTTGTATCATAATTCAGATGAATTAAGATCACCATAAATATTCAATTATTTTTAATGGGGAATTATGGACAGGATAAGGATAGAAGAAGTAAAAGCACTTTTCGTCCAAGAGTTCTTGCGTGAACTATATACTTTTGAACTGAAGTGATTCTACCTTAGTTAGAGGTAGTTTTTCATGCTATATCTTAATATACCATTGAACCAATCAATAAAGGCCGATATCAGATCGAAGAGTGTGATATACGATCGAAAATATCCTCTTTTTTTTAATATTATTCATCGATTTGTGCATCTTTCTAATTAATGTCATTCAAATCTTTTCGTGATCATATTTATTGAAAACATGCTTAGACACTTTTATTATAGAGTAAGAAAAAGTTTTTGTCGCAAGAAACACTTCGTTCTCGCGCTATTAGATAGACAAGAAATGAGTATGTTTTACAAGGAAACAGGAAAACACTGTTTCATTGAAAAGATTATACTCAGCAAGGCTCAAAACGGGCCACATTTTTATGGCCCGCCCAACCCGATCCAGGTCCGAACGAAACTTTTGTATTACACATTTGTTTCCTCAATAAAATTTATAGACTACTACAGTGGTTGCTTATGTACTGAGGAGTAAATAGCCGGCCTTATTTTTAGTTTAATTAGCTTAGACTGTGGGACTAAAAATAAAATTAATATACAAGAAATTGAATTGCTTCTTAAGTGAAACAAATACAAATATTCAAGATTGTAGAACTCCATAATGTTCATTCTACATAGCACGATATCCTCTATGGTACCATGTCTTAATTGAGTTACACTTATGGAAAATTCACTGCATTTCTTAGTAGAGATATTTTTTTTCTATTTTGACCATACAGTGAGCTAGCTAGTGGTCAAAAGTAATTTGTGAACAAGAAAAAATTTATTGATACCTAAAGTTTGAAGATGAGTCTCCCAATTTAATCGTTTAGAAATTTTTCGATCCCCTAATAGACTATGTTCTACTGTACTCTAACTCACAACATCATCAACCTTGTGCGAACAATTTTCCATGGAATCCTACACAAAATCCATAGAATTACTCTGTTTTCCAGAAAATGGTAAACTTGCTATGAATTCAGTGCTTAATCAAAAGTGAAGGATTAGATAAAGTGTTGTTTAAAGTTCCTGTGCTGGGTGACGGTTTATTTTCGACACATTTTTCTGCGAATCATTTCCGCTTGTTCATTAGTACCGTTTTTGCAACACAGAACTTCACAAGCAAACGCGAAATATGACTGAGCTAAACAATTATTCGAGTTGATTATGTTAGTCATACCTCTCAGAGACTTCAAAAATAAAAAAGAATCACAAGTTTTATATTAAAAACACGAAAAATACCCCATTGTTGGTGATGAGACGGACATTAGTTTTGACGTACTTCAAATTTATCGACTACAAGCAACATTTTAACGAAAGAAATGCAACGACTGTGATTTTGAATCAAAGTAACAGATTTTAATTGATGAAAAAATATTCATGACAATTTCGAGTTCCTAAAATGAGCATATAGTTTACTAAAAAATTGAAAAAAAACAATAAAAGTGTCGAGCCGGGACGGACGGCTCGTTTCGAGTCCTATTTGGTATTGACATGGGCAAATTGAAGGATAAGGCAAAAAAGAGCAGAATAAAAGAGCGTCGAGGAAAAGCCAATTTAATGTGTCGATATAGTAATCATTATTTTATTTCGAATAACTATAATGAGCTGATTTATATGAAAATTTGTCTAAAGTCAATCATTCTAGCTCGTTAATAAACTTGCGAGATCTGCTATGACGAATGAATACTTTCTCAAGGTTCGAATATAAAGGGTGGTCCAGAAGTTCTGACTCGATTTATATAATTGATTTTTTAATATTAAAACACATAGTTAAAAATTTGTCCTTATGATAAAAAGATGCAGCAAAAGACGCTCTACAAAATAGCCTATGACTGATCCTCTCTGACTCATATAGTAAGAAAGTTATAAGCTTAGAAATATACGTCACAAAAAATAAAAATTAACTGTGAACCTCATTTATAAGTTGGTGCTTTCAGTAAAAGTTTCATAACTTCATCGAAGCAAAAGATTTTTAGGCCAGGTTTGTTTTGTTTTTATTAGAAGTGGTTGCTCTTCTCTACCTAGCTGCAACATCAAAACGTCTATTCAGTTTCCTGTTCATTGCTGAGTACAGTGTCGAAAACTAGGTTGTCGATTTTTGACGTATTTTTGAAAGTTGGTCCTCCAGCACATCATCTTTTCTAGCAACAATTTTCTATAGATCATGAGAAAGAGCACATTGGAAAGTACCAAATTCAACTGAGTTCTCGCTTGTGTTACGTTTTATTATGGAAATAACAGGAAAAGAAAAAGTTCAAGTCGAAAAAAATGCCAAATTCACAAAGTTTTTATTTTTTTGTCTCCCGTATAATGCGTTTACTTTTCTTGATTGAAGTTCTGAAGTTAAAGTCTAGGTGTGATTTTGTAGAGAATTTCACAGCGCTTCTATTAAAAATAGAATTTGCTCCAGGGAACCAAAGGAACAGAAGTTATAGTGAAAATATTAAGATCGAGTTCACAGTTAATTTTTATTTTTTGTGACGTATATTTCTAAGCTTATAACTTTCTTACTATATGAGTCAGAGAGGATCAGTCATAGGCTATTTTGTAGAGCGTCTTTTGCTGCATCTTTTTATCATAAGGACAAATTTTTAACTATGTGTTTTAATATTAAAAAATCAATTATCTAAATCGAGTCAGAACTTCTGGACCACCCTTTAGATGAAAACTAAGAGGAAAAGTGCAAATTCGAAACCCCCAGCTTCTCAGCATCTTTTGGTACTGAAAGTTCGTAGTAGTAGGGGTGTACAGCTCACACTCGAGACAGCGGTTTCTCGGCTATTCTAAGGAGAAAACATACCAATTTTCGGGTCAAATGAAAGAGGATCCTGGATCACTCCAGGGCTGGTCCGACCAAGTCTATGTTTTCCCCTTGCTATAGAGAAAAAACCTTGTTGCAATCTATTTGATTGATAGCCTTTTTGTATCAGTCAATCAGATTCCAAGAAGCTGTTTCTCAGCTATTGTAAGGACAAAACATAGGCTTGTCCGGACCAATTCAAGGGTTATCCAGGCTCTTCTTTCATTTTATCCGAACATCAGTGCGTTTTGTTCTTATAATAGCTGAGAAACAGCGTCTCGCAATCTGATTGGTTGATACGAAAAAGCTATCAATCAATTAGATTTTAGCAGAGTTTTTTTTCTCTATAGTAACGGCAAAACATAGGCTTGTTCGGGCCAGCCCTCGGGTTGTCCAGGATCCTCTTTCATTTGACCCGAGAATTGGTATGTTTTCTCCTTAGAATAGCCGAGAAACCGCTGTCTCGAGTTTGAGCTGTACACCCCTACCACTACTAACTTCTAATGCCAACAGGTGCTGAAATTGTACTGAGGGGGTGCTGGAAAGGTGTTGAGGTGCTAGTGATTCCGAACCTGTACTTTTCGCCTTGCTCAAAACTCTATGAGCACCACAGCACCATCTCAGCACTTTTTCAGTACATTTCCAGTACCTTTGAGAATTATTTGGTGCATGGTGCCTGCACTTTCTCCCATGATGAAAACTAATAATCGAACGATTGAAATTTTTTGAAAAATTGAACATTTTTCTTCTATAAGAAAAGCCAAGAGACTTTTTTCAAAGTTGTTTTAAGGTTTTTTGTAAATTCTATCTTAAATAATATTTTAAATATATTTTATTAATGCAGATATTCTGGTAGAACTTGCCGCGCTCTATCGAACCATGTAAAAATATCACAAAACAAGTTTTGTTTAGTCCGATCTCTGAATTTATGTCGTCTATATTATAGTTTGTTATTGTGTTTAAATTTTAGCATACTTTATTTTTTCTCTGATACCTAATTCAATTATCTTATTTGTGGGATCATCAAACAACGATGTTATTATTCTGTAACATTCGATGTTTGTTGTTATACATTATACTTGGACAATTTAACGTAGATAATGTAATAGCAATTTGGCCATCATCAAACTCTTCTAAGATCAGTCTGTTAGGCCTTTTTCATGATGTACCAGACGCAGCTAACATAAGCCATCCGTCTTTCCATTATCAGGCTATGTTTAAGGCAGCAGTGCTACTTTCTCATCAATATAATATAACAATTGATGGAGAATTTCTAGGATGGCAAGTAGCGGAAACTACTGGGGGTATAATTGATGCGCTTAGCGATGCATGTCGTGCAGTGTTGAATTTAAATACAGTTGGTATTATTGGTCCAGAATTGTCGCGAGAATCTCAATTAGTAGCTCCTTTCGGCGAAAAACTTGGTATACCTGTTATATCATATGCTTCTACTGATCCTGATTTATCTGATAAAAAAACTTATCCAACTTTTTATCGTACAGTTCCTTCGGATGATACAGCTGCATCATCCCTTGTTAAATTATTTATTCGATATAATTGGACATCATGTTCAATTATTTATCAAAATGATGCATTTGGATCTGGTGGAGTCAAAGCTATAAATCAAGCATTTAATCAAAGTAAATTAACAGTAACACAAACGGTTATCTTTGATATTGGTTATCTTGGGTTTCGTGGAGATTTAAAAGTTTCTCTAGTTAATAGTCCAACACGAATTGTTATTGTATGGGCTGAATCAATTTATACATCTATTATATTACAAAAAGCTCTTGATTTGAATTTAGTTGGTCCATCTTTTACATGGATACTAAGTTCTAGTGTTTCATTTGATTCTTTTAATAAAACATTTCAGGAAAATTTAATTGGAATGCTTCTTATTGAACCAGTTGTAGGATCAGTTGTCAATGTACCAATTAATCAAACATTATTAGATTCAGCACTTAATATTTGGCAACAATATGAAAATGAAACATATCCTAGATCGACAAACGTTGATTATTATGCATTATTTGCATTTGATGCAACATGGGCATTAATTCAATCATTACAAAAATTGTGTTCATCAACAATAAATAATTCTTCTTCATGTTTATCATTTGTTAAATCTTCATTCTGTTTTGATAATCGTTTTAATCAATCGAATTTATTGTTAGATGCACTTAGTACAACACAATTTCTTGGTGTATCTGGTCCTGTACAATTTACTTCTAACTCTACAAATAGAATAAATGGTTCATATTATTCTCTAAAAAATCTTCATTCTGTGGCCAGTGGTTTGAGTTTTGTGTCTGTATTAGAATATGTAGATCCTGGAAATTGGAGAACACCTTTAAAAGAAAATGTTATTATATGGCCAGGAAATACATTAACAAGCCCATCTAGTCGGGCACTTCTTAAAGGTGTAACATTACGAATTGGTATTATTCGAGGACCCCCATTTCTAATTGTTGAAAATATAACAGATAATACTGGACAGACTATTATACAGTATAATGGTTATATATGGAATCTACTTAATCTTTTAAAAGATAAAATTGGATTTAATCCAATAATTCAATTAGCACCATCAAATCAAACATATACTCAAATAGTTCAATCGGTAAATGATGGTGCTTATGATATAGTTGTAGGTGATGTTACTGTTACATCTAACCGAAGAGAATTAGTCGGTTTTTCTAATGCTATATTTGATAATTCTTTACGTATTATTATGCGAAAATCACCCGATATCAGTGTTGATCTCTTATCATTCTTAAAACCATTTTCACGTAATTTATGGATATTAGTCTTTGCTACTTTTATATATGCTGGTATTTTGATGTGTATTATTGAGAGAAAAGATAATAAAGGCTTAGAAAGTGGATCAATATTATCTCAATTTGTACTGAGTGTATGGTATTGTTTTGGTAATATAGTTGGATATGGTGTAGAATTTAATGCTAGGACAGCTGCTGGACGTTTTTTAACTGCTGGTTTATATATATTAAGTTTGATATTAGTTGCATCATATACTGCTAATTTAGCATCTGATTTGACAATAGCTAAATCACAAGGTGTTATTTCTGGAATTGATGATATTAAAAATAAAAAAATTCCAAATAATCGTATCGGTATTCGTGTAGGTACAGCTAGTGAAGATTATTATTTATCAGAAATATCTGGAGGAAATAAAAATTACCATCCGTTATACACTCGACAACAAATGTATGATGAGCTACTCGCAGGTACTATTGAAGTATCGTTTTTGGATGACGGAATTGCTCAATATGTGACCAATGATATTTATTGTAATTTAACTTTAGCTGGAAATGGTTTTGATGTTGGCATTTTTGGTATTGTTACTCCTAAACAATGGTTATATGCACAAGATTTAGATGTTAATATATTATCATTAAGAGAAACAGGTCAACTTGAGGATTTAAGACAAAAATGGTTTGAACAAAAACATTGTTCTGATTCAACTGTAACATCGACTGCAATTGAAATTAAGGCAATAAGTGGATTATTCGTTACATTTGCAGTAATTAGTGTTTTATCATTCTTATTATTTTTATGGATGAAAAGATTGATGATTAAAGGTTATTTATCGAAATTCATATGTCCAAATAAATCTTCAACTGAACAAAAATACTCTATTAAAAGACGAGGAAGCAAAACTTCTCAACATTCGCAAAACAATCAAACAGTGTTACCCAATTTTTCAGGTTTTTAACTGAAAATTCTCTTTATTACGAGAAAAAAAAACTTTTATTACATAATTAACCAATTTATTTTTGAAATTTTCTAACATTTTTTTATTTTTCATACCAAAATCATATTTGAAAATATTAGTCACGATAAACTAAAATGTACGTCCCGTCTATCTATCACAAATGTATCGCCTTTTCGAAATTTAATAATAAACTAGTGACTTAATCTTTAGATTTATTTTTAATTATTTTATCTTTCTTATATTTCATAGATTTGATCATAATAGAATATTCGAATTTGAATTATTCTATAGGAAATAGATAACATTGATCATAGTTCATATACACAATAGATTATGTAATATGGTATCAATTGATATTTTTCAATAATAGAATTTCATTCGATATATTCAATATTTAAATTGTTTGCAAGATCATTTTTAACAATAGATAAGATAAATTGTTGATAACTACTTGCTTAGAAGTCTCAAGACACAAAAAAATATATATTTCTTATTGATGTTAAACTCAGATTTAAGAGAGTATGACATGTGAAAATGAAAGTAAATGAATATATATCCTCAAATCAAATTATCGATCTCACGCCCAATATTCTCAATTGCGCGAAAAAGTTCGATAGGAAATTAGTATTAAAATTTTGTTCATTGATTTAAATTGAATATAATTAATTTCAATAAATCGAATTTGAGATAGATGAGACTAAAATCAAATAATTTCAACTAAATTCGAATAATGACGCATACTAATTTGGACACTAAGCCTATCAAATTTATTTTCGTAAGTTGTCAATAAATTTCCTTATCGAAACATATCTGTATACATA